TCACGAATGCGAAAGCAATAATTCAAAATACAAGTGGTCCATAAGAGCAGTGCATAAGTCGAATGGAATGGCATACATCTTTACATAGCTTTACAACTTGAATACAAATAGAAATGAAGTACAAAGACACACATTACATCTTGGCAAAAGGCTTCATAAGCCGACATAAACATAATACATGGAATTCAAATCAAGAATACATAATCTTGAGGATTGCCGACATCCTCAAGCCGATATAACATGCATACAAAACACACATCTCGGTGTAGCCGACTTCTTGCTTGTTACCTACATACATACATAGGGAGGGTGAACTTGGATACTCACTGAATGGTACAAGTAATAAAGGGGTTAAATGAATGATACCCGAGATCCATTCAAAACAATACATAGTATATCTTGTCAAAACCATACATAACATAACTTAGCTGGCTTGAAATAAAACATCATTTGAATCTTGGTCTTTCAAAACTTGCTTACTTACTTAACATACGTCAAATCTTAAAACATGGGGTGATGACATTCTGGGCAAAACAAAAGCATAACCTCGGCATCGAGCACACCCGTTCATAGTCCGTCGGCGGCCGATATCTTAACAAGGGTGCTACTTAGGCTTAACATCCCCTAGCACGAAAGTACGGTGCTACCTAGGCTTAAAGTCCCCTAGCACGGAAGGACTATGTTACATAGGCTTAACGTCCCCTAACACGAAAGGACGGCGTTACTTAGACTTAACGTCCCCTAACACGAAAGGACGGCGTTACTTAGGCTTAACGTCCCCTAACACGAAAGGACGGTGTTACTTAGGCTTAACGTCCCCTAACACGAAAGGACGGTGTTACTTAGGCTTAACGTCCCCTAACACGAAAGGACGGTGTTACTTAGGCTTAACGTCCCCTAACACGAAAGGACGGTGTTACTTAGGCTTAACGTCCCCTAACACGAAAGGACGGTGTTACTTAGGCTTAACGTCCCCTAACACGAAAGGACGGTGTTACTTAGGCTTAACGTCCCCTAACACGAAAATACTTTTATCAAAACAAGGCAAAGCTTTATCAAAACCTTAAGAACATAACTTTATTAAAAATACCACTCACATAGATCTCCTCGGTGTAGGCTCAAAGCAAAGATCAAGGACCTACAATCACATGACAAAGCATACTGAACATACTTCTCAAAACAAGTCTTACATGCATGCAATTGGTCTCGGGAAAACATGCTGGAAGTCAAAACACTATTTTACATGTCAAGAAGACATGCTTGGTACCAACCAGGTCTTTGCCGAGGTCCCACACCTCCTGGCCGAGGTGTGGCTACCTAGGCTTCGGCATGCGGCTGCACGCCGAGGTGCGCACAAGACAAACTGAAAGTGTAAGTGATCATGCAAAGGTAGGCCAAGGTGAGATACGATGCTTGGCCTAAGTGTGAGGTCTAGGTAAGAGTGATCTCGGCGACTACACTTCAGGAATTGAGGTCTGGAGATCTGGGTTTCCACCCGTGATGAACAAGAAGAACATGAACATGAAGATCATGAAGAACATGGATGCTAAAATCATAACTTCTTTATTTACAAAATCTGGGATTTCATGCTATGAGTTCGAAAACATGGACCTGGGTACCCATACTTGAAAATCATGTGAAAACAAACACAAAAACATGGATCTAGGCATGAGCCTTCGGATCAAAACATAACTTTTCTTGAAGAACACGTGAATGTTATTTTCTCTTTCTAAAACCAGACTTCGAAACCATGCATGGCTTACAAATCATATTCAATCATTCAATGCAATAACATAAACATAAAGAACAACATGGGTAGATCAAGAATCTAACCTTAGAACACGGATCTAACGATTCGATCTCAAGGAATCAAGCTTAGAAATCCACACTCTCTCTCAAGAACTCTTCTTCCTCTCCTAGAGATTCTCTCTCTTCTTCAAAACAAAGATATAACAAATGATAGGTTTCTCCCTCTGCCGGCTGACTTAACACTCAGCTCGGACACGTGGCAACGGCTGGTTGGCTCTCCTAAAAAAGGTGATAGGTTGACAAGACAAGACTATGACAAAACGTATCTAACAAGCTACTCGGTATGGCACTCCGGCAAGCGATGACATCGGCTAAGGACAAGGCTTCGGCAACTAAGGTGACAATGACCTCGGCTAGGAAGGACAACACTTGACTAAGCTGTGCCACACCTTGGCCTAGATGTGCCACACCTCGGTCTAGGTCATACCACTCCAGGACAAGATCACTTAGGTGCAAAGGTAACATCTCGGCCTAGATGATACACATCTCGGCCTTGGTGATTCACACCTCGGCCTAAATAATGACATGTCGGCCAATATGCCAGGGCGAAGGTGGAGGTCAAACAAAGGGGTTCCAAGATACTTCTAGACTGAAGATGACCTCGGCTTGGAATGATCTAGGCTTAACATAACCTAGGCTTGGCACGACTTCGGCTAAACATAACTTAGGCTCGGGGTACCAAGGAAGGAACAAAGCAAGCACACAACACTTAGGCAATTCACATAACCACAAAACAAGGCAGGTACCTTACTTAGCCAAAACAAGTCAAAGTCTGCAAATGCAAGCTTAACAAGACAAAATCATGCAAATGTACATGAACATGACTAAGACATGAATGTGGGTTATTACAAGAAAGGTGGATCACAAGAAGAAGATAAAGCAGGGCGCCAAGACACCTTATCAAACACAAATGGCAAGTGCAACTCCCTATGGCAAGGGGATAAGTCACATAAAGGTTAATTGGCAACGAGGGATTCCTCCTTGTACAAAACACATGGACAAGAGGAAAGGACTACCAGAAAGCAAGGCAAATGCTTTGTGGCGGTTCCAAAAAGCAAACATAAAGACTTTGCAGGGAAGACGTGACGAGGGCGTCACTGCATTAGGTGGGGGAGAATGTCACGGACCAAGAAATCCTAATGCTGCCCTCACTAGAAAGCGTTGGAAGCCTAAGAAGATTGCTAGAACTCTCTAGAGAATGGCTAGAAGATGGGAGGCTTTAATAGAAGAACCTAGAATTCTCTAGAGCAGACAAGGGGATGATGGAACTAGAAAGTTCTGGGAGATTGTAGAGCATGTTGGAAGCTTCTAGAACTCCCTGGAGCATTGTAGGAACTTGTACATAGTTAGAGACACTTGTAAACTCTTCTAGACATGTACATACTAGAATAGTCCTAGAATACTCTAGCAAGGGGAAGTGTCTAGAACACTCTCCATTAGTATAGTTCTAGAATATTCTTTGTAAGGCTATATAAAGGGGAGGGCCTCATTTGCCCAAACCATCAAGTACCACCAAGAGTTGTAAGCTTTCTCAAGAGTTAATACAAGGCATTCTCTCAAACTCTCTCTTTGTGTTCTTCTAAACTTCTCTTTCCTACAACATTGTGAGTTAGGCTGACTTAGCAACATCAAGTGAGACTTGAGTTTGTCTAAGTGCCGCACGGATAGCTAGGAAACAACCAAGTCCGTGACACTAGGGCCTCTCATAATAAACTCAAAAAAAGGCCCCTTTTATTATAATTTAGTGTAATATATTATGTATGTTTTAAGTCTAATTTTTTTTTAAAAAGCCCAAACTAACTTAAAATAAATTGGCCCATTAAAAAATTAAATGGCCATTCAAAAAAATTAGCATTGTTATCCATTGGAAAATAGACCCAAAAAAGGGGTCTCTCTTATTATAGTTTAGTCTAATATATTAAGTATATTTTAAGTCCAAAAAAAATTAAGGAAGATCCAAATTAACTTAAAATAAATTAATCTATTGAAAGGCCCATTTAAAATAATTAGCATTGTTATTTATTGAAAATGATTTCGCAAAAAATTAGATTATGCAAATATGATTGATTTATTTGCTTCTAGAAATACACGAAGAGTGAGGATCAAGTGATACTTATTAGTTGTTGTAATGTAATGCTAAGTATTTTTTGTGATTTTGACACAAACCTTTTGTCCTTTACTTTAAAAAAAATTTCATTCAATGAAAAAAAAAATGTGGAGGGCCCCAGAAATTTATTAGTTGATTATCAGCTTTGGGTCCCGGAAATCTCAGGGCCGGGCCTGATATGAGCTTTGTGAATATATAGAGTCCATTTTACATGCACACTTTAAATGAGGTAGGTGGTGGAGGGAAGTAATGAGGTGGTTCTATTTGTTTAATGAAGTAGTTGGATAGTTATATATGTAAATGATGCATTCATGAAGATGGTGACGCCTGCAATCTTTGAAAAGTCATGCAAAATAAATATTCACACTTGGATGCCTCACAAAAGTCTAGGACTTTGATGAAATTTTTAAATAAAAACAAAAATTCCAATAAATTATAATTGGGTCAAAAGTTGTTCTTAATTAATATGGAGCATTTTAGATACTACTGTCAAATTATTTGACAGTAGCAATCACCATGTGGCTATCAACCAATTTGCTAAACTGAAAAAAAAAATGTACCATGAACTAGATCAAAGTAAGAACAAATTTGAGTTTGCTTGCCATTTCAACAGATTACTCAAATGATATTAATAGCAAATTGGATTCCATGACATCAGTAAATTTAATATTAACAGTATATTTCACATTTCAATTAGAACATCGGGAATAGTAACAATACATTTCACATTTCAATTAGAACATCAATAAATTATCACACCAGTACATTGAAAATTAACATTAAATCGGATATTGACAAAATTAATGGACCAATAATATTAGCAAAAACGGATGTGTACAGGTAGAAGAGCACCAATAACAAACATTGACAGCATTTGAGTAACAACACAAATGAAGTGTGTATAGGTTCAAAAGCAACAATAAACACTAACAGCCTTCCTTGCATAATCACCTCCCAATCAAAAAAGCCAACCAAAAGTTCATCCTCTTGTCCACGTGGTAAAGTTAGTTTTCACCATGAAGATGCCACATATGTTCTATTAAATCATTGCGGAGGGCATGATATGCATTCTTATCTCTAATACCTAAATGACGGGACATGATGATTCGAAGTCATTGTTACTGGTACACGAAACTACTATTGGTGAGTTGGTTGATGATATTTCATAATCAAAATCAAGATGCCCATCTCTCTCATCTTCGACAATCATATTGTGCAATATAACGCAACTCTTCATTATGTTACCAAGCAATTTGGGATCCCAAAAATGTACTGGACCACCTATAATTGCAAATCGAGATTGGAGCACTCCAAATGCCTGCTCTACATCCTTTCTTGTTGACTCTTGCAACATCGTAAAATGTTGCTTCTTTGCTCCTTGGGGAGAAGAGATTATCTGAACCAGTGTTGCCCATTGAGAGTATATACCACATCAACAAGGTAATAACCCATATTATAAGGGTGTCTATTAATAGTGTAATGGACAAGCGAAGCTTTAGCTTTGACAAGATCAGAAAATAAGGGCGACCAATCCAAGACATTCAAGTCATTGTGTGATCCAAGCATTCCAAAAAATGCATACCAAATCTACAAGTCATAAGAAATTACTGCTTCAAAAATGATGATTGGCTTTTTTTGATGGCCTAAGTATTGATTTTGTCATGCCGTTGGACAATTTTTCCACTCCCAATGCATGCAATCTAAACTTTCCAACATACCGAGAAACCCATGAACCTCCCCAATAGCAAGTAATCTAGCAATATCAGTTGTTGTTGGAGATCTAAGATATTCAAGTCCAAAGATTTTGATTATTGAATTGCAAAAGTGTTTTAAACTTTCAATTGTCATGCTTTCCCCAATTCGCACATAATCATCAACTGCATCTGCTATCACTCTATATGAAAGCATTCTAATTGTTAAAGTCATCTTTTGCAGTGGAGAGAATTCGAAGATATGAGCTACATCTTTTTTTTGAACAAAATATGTATCGTGTGCTTTAATGGCATTCAAAATTTGCAGATACAGATGACGACACATTATAAAACGTCTCTGAAATGTTACAGGTGAATAAACTGGATTTGTCACAAAATAATCTGTAAATAATTGATCATGACCCTTCCTTCTATCGCGATGTATGCATTTATGTCCTACAACAGAACCACATATTTTCTTTGATTAATCACTTGCTCTTAGAATCTGTATCATATTAGCATTATTTATCTCATAAAGACCCCAGAAATGCAACAATTGTTTCATCATCAGAGGATAAAGAAGAAGAAGATGATGAAAAATCAATGAACAAGTAAAAAGTTGAGCTAGTCATTATGTTATGTTTTTCAGTTATGGTTGGTTACATATACAACATTGTTTGCTTGGTTTATGGCCTCGTTTGATAGAACTGTGGGAAAGTGATTATTGATCATAGATCATAGCTTAACAGATTATAGCTTACAGCTGTGAACATAAACTGATAACCTGTTTAGTGTAACTGTGGGATTATAGATTTAAACAGCAAAGTAGTGCTTGGTAAATAAGCTATAAAATAGCTTTTGGCTGTGTAATTGTCATTTTTGCCCTTATGAACATTACAATTAATATCAATTAATATCCATGTATTTATATTAATGTTGTGATGTCATTACATATTATTTTTCTTTATATTAATTTAATAGAAGTTATAATATTCATTTTTTTTATTTCATTTAATATAAATTATTTCATTTTTTTTCTTCAATTTTAATTTTTTTTTAAATTGTGATTCTGTTTTCATTAATTTTAATATAACAATTGTGATTCCATTTCTTCAATTTATTCTCATGTTTCCTTATTTCTTTATTTCTTTTCTTCTCTAAATTTTTTTTTCTTCATTTTATTTTATTTTCTTTTTTGTTCTTCTCTTCTTACATATTATTTTTTTATATTCATTTTAGTTTATAAATACATTAATATTTATTAATATTTTTTTAATTTAATTTATTATCAATTAATGGCTACTTAGTATCAATTAATACTAAAATTATTTAATTCTATCAATTAATATAAAAGTTATTTCATTAATGGCTTAATTATTATTTCATATATTTTTTTATTAATGGCTTAATATAAAATTAATTTTCAATTAATGGCTTAATAATTTAATTCATTAAACAATTTTAATTTTTTTTTATTTTTCTTCTTTCTTTTTTATTTTTCTTCATTTTACAATTTCTCTTCTAGGGTTTGCCTCTGGTTCAGATCGCGATCGATCATGATGGGTGTGGTTAGGGTTGTCGATTGCGAGCTCTGGTTCGTCACCATTCGATCGTCACGCCATCGATGGCGAGCTAGGGATTTGCCCTTCTAGTTCGTGAGAGAGAGAGAGAGACAGATAGAGAGAGAGAGAGAGTTTTGCCCCTCTATATGTGACAACCCAGATTTTTAATTATTCTGTACAATTTATACTAATATTATTTAATCTTAGTTCAGAAAATATATAACTTATTATATATTATTATGCATAATTTTATAAAATAATATAATTATTAAAATTTTAGGGATCAAAATATAAATAATAATAATAATATAAATAATAATAATGAGTGTGGTAGTAAAATAATTAATTAATTTTCTGTTGGTATACGATAAAGTGTAATTTAATTAGAAATTAAATTAGTTATATAATTATATTAAAATATTACGTTAAAAGGTAATTATCTTAAATATCTATTAAGGATAAGAATGAATCTTTGTAATGATTATTGAAATCTGCCACGTATCAACTCTCCCCTTATAAAAGGGAGGAGGCGTTCGCTGGAAAGAGGAGGAAAGAAACAGGAAGAAAAGAGAGAAAAGAAAAAGAAAGAAAAGAAAGAGAGAAGGAGAGGAAGAAAAGAAAGAGAGGAAAGGAAGGAAAAAAAAATAGTGGAAGTTGAAAGGGTCTTTGATAATGGAAAGAATGAATAAGGTATTAAAGTTAAGGTGAGTTATATTACACCTTGAGTTACCAAAATATATTTTATGTATGCTTTGACTTACCAAAATCTGTTTTATACAAGTTATGTTTTTAATAAAAGTTATGTTTTATAAAGGTTTCAGTTACGTGGCTTATCTTCTGAACCCTATTTGCTTAAAAGGAAACTCATAGATATGTTTGTTTATATTTTAAAGAATATTTGGCTATGATCATATAAACAATTATGTTTTGTAAGCACCACCACGGGAGTCCCACGCCTTTTGGAACTTAAATAACCATTGGCCTCTGTTTGATCACTTTGTGGTCCTCTGTTTGTCATGGATCCATTGATCTCTGTTCTGTGCGGAGCAAAGTACTGTGCGGAGCTAAGTGCTACACTATTGTGGGAGCCACCTCTAGAATCCGTACGAGCCACCTCTTGAATCCGTACCTCTATTCTGTGCGGACCAAAGTACTATACGGAGCTAAGTGCTACAGTATTGTGGGAGCCACCTCTAGAATCCATATGAGCCACCTCTTGAATCCGTACCTCTGTTCTGACTGTCACTTCTGTGACCTCTACTCTGTTTTGTTCTGTTCTGTTCAGTACCGTGGTTATGGTGATATATTTACATAGTTTCTGTATTTCAGTTTCTGTCATTTAAATGATTTATGAAAATAATCTCAGCTTTGCTACTTAAAGGATTATTTGTTCCGACTAAGTTATCTGTAAATGTTTTGGCCCAAATAACTATCCATAGCTATTTCGTGTCCCTTATACTCTTGGTATAATATTTCTCACTCTGCCATGTGCTTATAGTTGTTTACTAATTTTCAGGAAACATGCAATTCAGAAATAGCTTCTGGAAAGTCTTAGACGTGGGGCTGCGATTAGACACACACAACACTTTTATGATATTATTTATATGTAAATATCGGCCTTTTTGGTTAATATATTTTGTAATAAAAATAGAAGCTCCAATGATTTTTTTGGTACCCTTACTCAAATATTTCTTCCGCTTGCGTTTATTGATTTGTTTAAGAATTGGCCGTAGGTAACCTCAGTTACTGGCCATCACGATGCTTAACCCTTGGGTATGGGGAGCGGGTCGTGACACTATAACGGGAGGGTTTTGCCCCTCTGGTTAGGGTTTCAGATCACGAGAGAGAGAGAGAACCAAAAATCACCTCGTCGCCGGAAATCCCCTTCGTCGGAAATCGCCTCCATTCGCCGAAAATCGCCTATTTGGCTCGTGTGAGGGACAAAAATGAGTGTGTTTTGGTTTATATACATAACACACTTGTAATAATTTGAAATTGTGAGGGGTATTTTAGTCATTTTACCCCTCACATCTCAGCTGCGCGCTTAAGCTGATTTTTGACTTATAAATTAAGCTTCTCTTCCCCTACTCAAAGAAAAAGTTGATTTTTGATTTACAAAAAGTTATAATCTGTATTGTTAAGCTGAACCAAACACATCAAAATAGCTTAAATTAAGCTAAAAGCTGAAATAAGCTAGAAATAAGCCCTACCAAACAGGGCTTATATAGTACATGGTTTAATCTGTTTATATCTGTTTTTTTAGGGAAATAATTAATGGAGGCAAAAAGAAATGGAAAAGATTTAATGGAGGGCAAAGGAATTGAGGGAAATAGAAATGGAAGGGAAAAAAAAAAATTCATTTACTCTTGTTGGTCTACTCCAGACAACTTGTGTTTTGCTAATAGCTACAGTAGTTCACCGTTACAGTGACTGATATCAGATAAAGGAATTCATCATATTTTTACTCAAATTTTATAAAATATTTGGTGAACTATTAGAGATACCCTTAGGTCCTGTTTGTTTTCAAAGGTAGAATGGAGGGGATTGATAGTGAAGGGATTATTAGTGAGGGGATTGATAGTGAGGGGATTAAGTAAAATTATGTTTGTTTTGATGATAATTGTTAGTGTAGGGATTGTTAAATTATTTTTATATAAAATAAATATAAAATAATACAAAAAATACAAAAACATTAAACATTAATGTTTTAAAAAAAATGTCCAACATGTAAAAAAAAAAATTAAAAATAAAAAAAAATAAAAATTTCTAGAAAAAAATAAGGAAAATTTACCCATAAATCCTATTTTCTGAAAAGTTGAACCATTTAGTCCTAAAAGTTTTCTTATGCACCATTTAGTCCCATTTATTTTGGTAATGTTGTTTATTTAATTTTGATTATTTTGCATATTACAATAGTACCCCTTTTGTGAAATGTTTGTTTCCTAAAAATCTGCAACATCATAAAGACATATACATCAAACATCACTAAAAAAAATATACATCAAACGTCAACATATACATTATACATCACTAAACAAACAACCATTCCACAAACATCAACATATACATCAAACATCAACATATATTTTTATGGAGATTTGCGTCTTTGTAGAGTAGAACATTACTCTCTCTTTCTCTCTCTCTATATATGCAACGCACCCACTGATCCATCACACTGTTCTGCAAAATCGATATAATTATAAGCCGATCTTTGTCATCATTATAATTGCTCTTCTTCTCTGTTTTTAGACCAAGAACTCTGCAAAAGGGTTTTGTGGAAAGGTGAGTTGTGGATAGAAGATTTATGTCGTGGATCTGGATCTCGCGATTGGAGGAGCGGATGAGGGTGCGATTGGAGCAACGGAGAAGGGCGGAGGAGTAGCGGGGGAGGAGCGACGCAGAGAGAGGGAGATATCCCCGGACGCCGCCGATCTTGCCGAACGATTGCCGTAGCGACTGTGATTCTTCGTCTTCGGTCGTTGACGGCGGTGACTTCGACGGAGGTGAAACTGAGATCTGGCGGTGGTGGTGGATCTGGATCTCGCGGTTGGAGGAGCGGATGAGGGTGCGATGTGATACGATTGAGTCTTCAGGATGAGGGTTTGATGTTCACATGTTGATGATTATAGGGTTCACACGTTGATGATCATATTTCAAACAAAAACCCTATAAA